TGCCTGCTTTGTTTCTCTTTTTGTTTCATGGCTTGTTTGACTTTGCTCAGCATCACTGCATCCTGGCAGCTGAGTTCCAGGAAGATTAAATCTTCTTTTTCAAATATTTTTTAACTTTTTTTGTTCCAGAACAAATAAACACATATGCACACTTCAGCTGTCTGCCTTTATCTGTTCAATGGTAGAAGACCTGAGCCTTCTGGCTTGGGGGGCTCAGCACTGAGTCTGCCTGCAGGTGACCTAGTCTCAGCAGTCCAACCCTTCCAGTTCTTGTGAGCACTTGTGGTTCTCCTTCTGGTCTTTTGCCCATGCCAGTATTAGGACCACAGCTGGAACTTCCTTAGCTTCATCTGATGCTACTAGTCTTTTCCCCAAAAAATCAATCTTTCTTTTCTGTTCTTGGTTTTGGCCTATTGCTGTATCCTCCTTTACTTAACTCCCTGCCTCCCTTTGGTTCCTGCCTCCCCCACACCCCACTTCAAAAACTGCCAGTGCTGCTTGTATTCCAGTGCATCCCAGTTTGCTTCATAGATCTCACACATACATGCCGCAATCATTTAACCTATGACTGGCATGCAACCTTTTTTGGAATTATAATCAGGTTTATCTTCAGGACACTAGTTAGAAATCATGCAGTTTAGTGTATCTGGCTCTTGTGGGGTTTTTGTGATTTTTCTTTCACTCTCCCATCCTCTGTCTCTGTGTCTACAATAGGGTTTCTGCCACTACATGTGGATTAACAATTCATGTTTTGTTTTACTCTTCAAAAGACATCGCTAATCAAACATCTTAAATGATTTATCAGCTTTTGGCACATATGATGCAAACAGTCTAGAGAGGAAACCTAAGAATGCTACAGCCTGCATTTCAAAGGGATGGTGCTGATGGGGAATACCCGTGTTGAGTGAGGACATTACCAGACCACTATGGCCTTACTGAAGACACTAATCCTTGCTTTACCTCTTTAATTTCTCCACTTTTCAGCAAGTGCCAATAAGGGAATTATTTTTAGATGCTGTTCTTTGCTGTGGCAGCTCTAGGAAAGGATTTGTTCAGATGTGTAGTTGCAGGTATAAATAGAAAAGAGCTTCTGGACCACCTTACTGAGCAGTTATCAACAGAACACAGGCAAGTGCGGGATTTGTTTGTGGGTTTGGCTCATACTGTATACCCTTATGTGAAACTTTGTGCATTGCTTGTCCATTAAGGAAAAAAGTTCAGTGTCATGATTTAAGTGTGAACCCATACAAGAAGCTTATCACTGTGATCTGACACACAGTGTAACTTTGATCCCTGACACAGCAGTTCCTTGGTATGCTAGCAGTACAAGTCATTGGACATGCAGATGCATTCATTTCACTCTACTGAATTATGAATGAAAAGATGTACCTTCTAAATCATAAATCACACTGCAGACAGTTTTCAAAAGAGATACCGTGTGCTTGGTCAAGTTGCAGATTAGCAAAACAGCTAATGGATCATGTCTTATCCTACGTAATGGGTTACATTTTGATCAATGAAACAAGCATTGCCCCAGGGAAATGCAGTTCTCAGGATCATCGATGTTGTGTGAAAGAGGGAAATTTGCTTTAGAAAAGCCTTCTGTAGGAGATGGGCTCGGTCCAGTTCAGATCGATAGTAAGGTTCATTCTTCTTCAACTGGCATTGGGCACAAGCGGTCCTTCTCTGTAAAGCAGAGCCAAAGCATGAGTGTAATTTAAAGAATATGCAAACCAATTCAATAAATATATTTGTGTATACTTAATTGTTTTTTTATGAACCAGGGTCTTAATTCTGCTGGCATTTGCTGTCAGGCAGTGAGAGATAGTACATCAAAGACTGATTATACTTAAGCTTGTATTACTCTATTAATAAGCTGATTTTATTGTCGTCTTTTGCCTGCTAATAAATACAGCTTTTGTAAGTAAGTTAATTTTCTTATAATTGGGATCAACGTTGTTAGAAGTTGTGTTGTTTTTTCACGGCACATTGAATCAAGAACAAGAGATCAGCAGAGCTGCTGTGGTACCCTGACGGCAATATCAGCAAATGGACCGTTTGTTCTTCCAGTCTTTTTTGGTGCTGCTGTCAAGTGATGGGGAATACCAACAGCAGGTTGTTATCATGACATCATCCTTGATTGCAGGTTCCTACATATATGGGTACACTTGTCCATACCCTTAGGCAGACAAAATAAAGTGCCCGTTTGGTTTTATGGGTAAAAAGTGAAGGGGTTACTAGTGTCAGATCTCAAAGGGATTTCTCTCTGAGTCGTGTAACTGGTTTAGCTTCACAGATCTACCCAGCAAATGCAGTCCTTTGCCTTGGATGGGTTGCCTCAGAAAGCTTACTGGCTATTAGAAAATGGAGCTTCTCTAAACGCAGCCGTAATGAAAGACTCCTCCATCATTTGCGTCATTGTTTTAAGCCACTTGAAAGTGCAGTCATCTGTGTAGGAGATGAAACTTCTCTTGATGGCCTGTTTGTTTGGCATTCAGTGGTCTCAGGAGCTTCATAAACATTCAGCAGTTGAGCCTTTCTGTCTTCCAGCTGGTACTTTAGCCCTCTGTTGCAGGAAGAAAAGCTAAGCCGTGGAGACTTTAAAAATGGTGCTGACTTGTAGCCTAGGCAATTTAGAGATTAAAAATAAAAAGTAAATTCAGGTACTATACTCCACATACAGATGCTGTTTTAATTTTGGTGGCTTGAACGACCATAATTATATATTTTAAAATAGCCTTTTCCCATCTCTTCTGGCTCTGGAGAAAACTGATGCAAAATAAGTGAGACAAAGGTGGGCACAGGGGAGGTGTACGTGCAGCCTCCCTGGGCTCTCTGTTTTAGTTTAACTTTTAATTCAAGTTAAGCTCTTGGGGCTTGATCTGGGAAATGGCTTTGGGGCCAGAGGCTGGCCTGGCACATCTGCTCCCTGTCCTGCTTGTGGTCAGATGTAGGTAGCTGGGCTGACAGAGGCAGTGTGTGGTGGCAGATAAAGACTGCTCACATCACTAAAATCCTTCTTTTTTTTTTTCCTGCCTTAATTGCCTCAAGAAGGCAGGAAAAAAAATTCTAGGTTTATGGGCTCTGTTTCCTCTTTGCTTTTCTGGCCCAACAAAGTCTTTGCAATGCAGTATCAGCAAAAGGGGCAATTGCCCATCAACGTGGATGAGGGGCTCCAACTAAAAGTGTGTTGAAGAGTGAAAGGGGTACCATGACCACTGGTTTAATGGAAGGCAGTGGCTGCCCATCTCGGTTTGTAAGGGGCCTGATCCTGTCCCTGCATTTAACATATGTCTTGAAGGCTCCTGTTGGGTTGATCCACTTTGGGAGAGCACGGAGGAATCCTTAATTTTTCCGATGTTCCGATGTGACTGAAGTTAATGCTGACTTGCTAAGTCTTGTTAGTAGTTTTGTGAGGTCTGGTAGCTTTGAGCATGAGCAGTTGTTAGGGTCCTGGCAAGCTTTAAAGAAGAAAGGTTGGACCTGAGTCACTTTCAGGTTCAGGGACAGCAAAGTGGGTGTTTTCTCTTTTGGCATGAGCAACATGCTCTACTTAAGTCTCAAACTCTGTGCCTGAGTATATTAATGGACCTTGCCGTGCTGATCATGTCAGATCCTCCAGCTTGCTTAAGTAAACCCTGTCTACTTGTCATCAGAAGAGCGTGTAACTGGTTTTGCTTGCAAAACAACTGATTATGTATCCATAGAGCATCCTCCTCTGGCCCCAATTAGAGGCTGAAGCCTATGTGACTTGACATATTTTGTGAGTGAAGGCTTGTTAATTGAGCATGTAAATGTGTAATTGTCTGTACAATTATCCAGTGGATTTTTTTTTTTTAGCTTTGCACACAAATATGGGAGCACAGTCATGCAGTCGGGCAAATTTTCTAAAACCAGATGCTTAACTGAATATGTGCATTGAGCATACAGATGTGAACACCCTTAAAAAGATGGATCCAGTTGTGGTAACCTCCTCTTTTCTTTTGGTATGTGGATATGCTAATCTGAATGTTTTCATCCCAGTCTGTCACATACCATAGTTTCTGTGTTACCACTGTCCTTTTTCCTACTGAATATGTTTAATTGGTGTGGGAAATGGCAGGTACTGTAAGAATTATTCAGAAGTTGCTGTTAATGTATGTGCTGGAATTTAGTGAAGTGTTACCTTGTGCTTACAAGGTCGGTTGGTGCTGTAATACCTTTAAAATGGTTCTAGTCCATATGAAATATTAATTTTAAATGTGGTGGGTTTTTAGAGGAAAGCTGACTTATATAGTGGGAGTTATTGGCAGTCACAGTCCAGTGCAACTTCTGAGAGCAAAAAATGCCATTAAATTTGCAAATAACGGTATGCTTGAAGTTTGCTCTGTACTCGGTAGTTTCTCTGGAGCTGCTGATTTGCAAAGAATGAGTGATCTGGCAGTTTTGACCTTGCAATTCTCATCTGTTGGAGTGACTGAAAACCTAAATGGCTCATGTTTGAGGTCTGCAGTGCTCATTTACTGTGAAAGAAGACACAGTAATATTGCTTTTCTTTATAACATGTCCTTTTATATAGAACTAAATACTACATACAGTCTTTTTGAGGTAGCTTTGAAAGAAGTGTATAGGAAGGTAGTTTCAATAGCATACAAAAAGTTCCTGAATAGTGATAGAGCTGTGCCACAAATGTGTACATGCGGTTGACAACTTTATCTGGTCAAGGGTAGTCTGTTCTTATTCAAAGACCCACGGAGTGATTTGTGTTGGAAAGGTCCTTCAAAGATCATCTAGTCCAACTCCCCTGCCATGGGCAGAGACATCTATGACTAGATCAGGTTGCTCAAAGCCCTGTCCAACCAGACATTGAAGACTTCCAGAAGGCTCTGCCTCCCAGGTTCATGGCAATGTTGTAAATAACTCCTCGGGCAGGGGTGCAAACGGTGTCAGAATTGGGGATGCCGTTTTAATCTGAGTGACAACCACTCCCCTAACACCCTTTTCTCTTTATTTCTCTGCAGATGTCGCTCCTATGAGGATTGCTGTGGTTCAAGGTGCTGTGTAAGAGCTCTCTCTATCCAGCGACTATGGTATTTTTGGTAGGTCAGGTCATTTGGGAATGTTATGTTTGTCCTGTTCTTGTCTTGTTTGTAGGACTTAAATCAGGGCATTGCCAGCCCTAGTATTTTAAAGTAAAGTAGGTACAAGTATGCAGTAATATATATGTGTCCATATAAATGCAAGGACTTTGCGTTTTTGCTTATAAAATTCTCCCAACGTAGTAAGAAAGCACTGAAAGAAAAGGTTACTGAGGTTGATCTTTCCTGCTTCTGCATCCTGCTGGCCTGTACAGGCAGCAGTCCTACTTTTATTCAAAATTGCTGAATTCCTTATGCCTGTCCCAGCTACTACCAAGTGGCAACATTTGTCCATTTTTGTTGAGCACTCAGTTTTCGAAAGAGGATTGTGTAAGGAGGATTGTGCATTTAGGCAGGGTTTAAGATATTCTTGCCAGCTGAATTGAGGCTTCAGTTTAAAAGGGAGAGAAGTACATTTATGACTATGAGGATTTCACTGGAGATGACAGCAAGGGAAAAAAGGCAGAAAGATTTCAGCTTGTGAAACCAGCAGCTCAGTAATCTGGATAACGCTTAAACTAATCACTGTTATATGCATAATGAAAAAATAAGGTAAATTCATTTTGGGGAGGAATTTAAGAAAGCACCCGAATAAAACCTTCTCATTACAGTAGAGAGAAGGCAAAAGCTCTCCTAGAAAACCTGATTTCAAGCATCTTTATGTAGAATTTGAAGACTGCTTAAAAAAAAAGCCTTCAAAATTGAAACAAATAAACATTGAAAAACAGAAGCCCGATATATACTATAATACAGAGATTTCCCAAAGCTGACTCTGGGATTTCAGTCTACAATCCTTACTGATATAACTGAAGAGCTCTGCATCTCAATCCCTGGGGTGACATCATAAATCTCTGTTTTTCTGTTCAGAACAAATCCTTTGCAGGAACGCTGCCAAAAGGGAATGTATTAATACTGGCTCAGGGAAACAGGACCTCCTTCTGCTCTTGTTTCTACAGTGGAAACAAGAACAGAATTTGACCCTTTGCATGAAATACCTCTTGCTGCCATGCAGTGTCACACTCTTCCTCTTGGGCACCTGGGAATGCTCCAGAGGAGATAAGCATGGTGTCTAGGCTTGCCTCTGGCCAACTTCCATCCCTTCCAAAAGAGCATAGTTGTCATTGTTTGCCAGTAAAGGGCCCTGAAATGAGGTGGCAATTACAGGCAGAAGAACCATTTGGGTTTATGGGAGCTTGCATCAGTCACTCGCATGTCCGATAACTAATCGAGAAAACACAGTGAAAGCCGTTGTCTGAAGAACAAAATCTTCTGACATGCCCTTTCTGCATGTGCCTGTTTCCACAGCATGAGGGCAAGGGAATGATGAGGACAGTTTAGTCAGGTTGGAAAAGGAGCTGAGAGGAGAACTGAAGCAAAGTGATTTCCTTTTCCTTGAGAATGTATATGCCCTCTAGGAAGCACAAAGCAAAGCTTGTCATCTTCAGTGCTGAATGCTTCAGTCTTCTGGCTTGAGCTTAAATGCCAGCTACCATGTCTCCCATGGGAAACAAAATTATGGTGTTGAGTAATTTAAGAACATATAAGAATCTTCTTTTAAGGGCAACTGCAGAATCATAGAATCATAGCATGGTTTGGGTTGGAAGGGACCTTTTAGATCATCTATTTCCAATCCCACTGCCGTGGGTAGGGACATCTTCTGCTAGTCCAGGTTTCTCAAAGCCCCATCCAACGTGGCCTTGAACACTTCCAGGGGTGGGGAATCCGTAACTTCTTTGGGCAACCTGTTCCAGTGTCTCGCCACCTTCATAGTGAAGAAATGTATAGTATTCCTCTTTGTCCCCTACAAACCCCCTGGCCAGCCTCAATGCTGTGAGTGCAAGGCCTGTGTCCAAGATACACAGTTTGAAACTGTACCGACCTGGAATTTCAGTTCAGCATCCCAGTGGCAAAGGTCAGGTATGAACCTGAACTTTCCAGAAGTTCAAGGGTGTTTTAGTTTCAGATTTGACATGCCAGAAAATGTGGAACAATAGTACTGATTGCTAAAGATGTCCGTAATATATCCCTAAGTGCTCCATGAGTGCTATCTCAAATGACATAGACCTGCTTTCAAGAAACAACCTATTTAAGAAACCCCGATAAAAGCTGTAGGCTGATGATTGCTAGATGATACTCTTGTTTCTCTCAACAAACAGTCTGGGTTTGAGAGCTGCCTGAATGTGGGTGGGTTTTGATTTCCCTCTTCTCTTTGCCTAGGTTCCTTTTGATGATGGGAGTTTTGTTCTGTTGCGGAGCTGGTTTCTTCATCCGAAGGCGGATGTACCCTCCTCCACTAGTAGAAGAACCTACTTTTAATGTGTCTTACACCAGACAACCAGTCAACACTGCAGCAGGTCAGAGACTGCTCATTAAAGAAGTTTTACTAATTTCTTACATTTGTCAAGGCATTTTGAAAAGGGTACATTTGGGGGTTTTGTTTGGTTTTTGCAAACTGTGGGATTTGGAGAAGGGATTGCACTGCACTAAACCATGCAGCCACCTCCTGTGATGAGTGAAGTCGTCTGCCTTTCAAACAGCATAATTCATCTGCAGTGTACAGAAGTTTTTTTGAAACCCCGGATGACAGGACTTGCACTTCCCTCTGTTGTGGTTCCTAATGCCTTTACAGCAGTGTGTCCGTGCATGGAAGGAGGCTAGCAAGTTCGCACTTTGCAGCGTAGACAAAATGATAGGTGTCCAAAATGGACAGTGACATGAAGAAAGAGTTTTAAATACAGTTGATAACATCTGGCAGAGGTGAAGGAAAGCCTAACATTTTTCTTCAGTGATCTGGCTATCTTGCAAGTCTTGTCTTTTTGATTTGCCATCCATGCTCTGTGCTACAGTTTTTCTGCAGCAAAGTGGTCCTTCTCCCCTTGTTAGTCCGATTCTGGTCAGTAATGGCTGTGAGTGTCAGGAGGATCTACCTAGTGATGGCTCCTCTGGCAATACTGCTTTCTAAGTTTATTTCTTCCCCTCTGGCTGTTAGATAATCCCAGTTGGGAGAATCCTGCAAAATAAGACTCCCCTGTAAGCAGAAGATTTTTGTGTCTTATGGGAGCATTTTGAATCTGGCTGTCTCTAGTTGCAAGACCTTCTACAGTGCTGAGAGTGCATCTGAATACACACTCTGGTGCTTGCTTTCTCCCTGCCTCAGCAAGGCCAAACTGAGACATTTCTAACCACTTTCCAGATTGCATAAGCCAATGCAATGGCAACTTTGTGCCAGCGAAAGTACATACACACACACGTACGCAGGTACACTCGGTACACTGGCACTTTTCCTCCCGGGCTGTCATTTTATTGCATGTTGTATTAGAGAGAGCTGAAGCCAGAGGATCATTATCTTTTCTGATAATTTTTTTTTTTTAATCGGCAATTTGTTTTTGTTTCATACTGGCTTGGAAGTGGAAATACAACTGAATATTTTGTAATGAGAAGGAGGATCTCTCTAAAAATTTGGTGCCTCAAACCTCTCTATGAACAATCATTTTCCGAACCATTACATCCCTGTGCAATACTGTGGCTGCATCAAGACAGCGGAAAAGTGTCCTAAACCCCTTCTAGCTGGCTGTGACTACAAGCATGCTGAGGTGCAGCATTTGGGCTCTCCCCGCTGTCATGCTGGCTATTGCACACCTGCCTGCCTTGTGCAGGCTTTGGAAATGCTCTTTCTTGCATCCTTAAGCATATACTTACTTACACCCTTTTCTCCCCTCACTCTCTCACAGCTCTAAACAGATAAAAAGTTACAGACACAAACTGACACTTTATTCACCCTCTTCTTTTTTTAAAATCCAAAGAGGGTTTTTTTTAGGGCTTCCTTTCTGCATTTGTTTTTTCAGCTTGACTGAACAAGCATTTCCACAGAGAGTATTTATTTTTCAACAGTGGAGGGCTGGGAGGAGTCAAACTAACTAAACTAATATTTTTAAGCCTGAAAAGTAACCTCAAGATTATGTAAACAAGGAGCATCTTTGGCTGGATTGGCAAATACCAGATTTAATTTTAGAGCATGATTTTATATTTTCATGATGCTTCATAGAACACAAATTGTGGGTGAATATAAAATAAGCACAAGCCCTTTAATGATGTGCTTATGCCACCTGCTTCCAGACTGTTACTACTGTTACTTAAGCTCTGAGCTAATGCCACCAAATTTTTTTTTTTTTTTTCACTTTTTATACTGTTCTAGGAATATTCAACAGCAAAAGCAATAGGAATTAGCAGTCAACCAAGTTCTCATTTTCTGCTAGGTCCTCTTCCAGATTTGGTAGCAGCAGCCAGTTCACTGTTGAGGTGGAGCCCTTGAAACGTGGCTCCTTGCCATCTCCCTCCTTCCCTGCAGAGATGATGGCAACATCTTCTGCCATCCCAGCAGCAGCCTGCAAGCGGGAGTGCTTTTTCTGTGGGCCTGACTGAGAAAATGGATTGAACACCTCACCTACAAGCAGCAATTTGCAGACCTGGTGGTATCTTTCACTTCAGCCCTGGCCTGCATCTCCCCGAACTGGCAGTTCAAGCACTAGAAAAGGTCGGGTCCCTTCGTAGACACTTAACAAATACTTACTGAGCTGATCGCACAAGGAAGGTGATAGTCAGATGATGTTTTCTGCTAGGTGTTGTTTTTCTGCAAGTGTCCACACTTTCCCACCCCCCCCCTTCAATAACACACAGAAATTTTAGTGAAAACAGTTCCTTCCCTAAAGAGCAAGCTGCAGTGAGCCACCTCAACCTCGCCCGCTTCCCCATGCGGATGGAAACCGCAGAAATGCGGAGCTGGGCACGATTTAACTTTAAAACAAAACTGCTTAAGAAAAAGGCTACAGAGGAGGGTATTAGCCCAAACTTTGGAGAGTTAGGACTCGGCTGCCGGTCCCAGCCTGGCTCTCCCGCAGCCGCGTGCTGCTGCTATACGTGGGAGCAGGACAAGGGCTTCTCGTCGCTGCGGCAAAGGAAAAGAGGCTGCAGAGCAGCCCTCTTCACTCAGACAGGCAAAAGGTAAAATTATTGTGGTGTTGTGTTAAAAATTATTGTGTTAAGAAAGAAATAGCTGCGTTCTTGATCTGCTTTCTGTCCTCTTTGCTCCCGAGTGTCCTAAGGTCCCTAGGCAGACACCCCAGGCCCTGGGAGAGTTTGCATCCCTGTGTGTTATGGTTCAACCCATCTGATTTATTATTGTAGGGACACGTTTTTGTTTGGTATGTAGCTCCTTCCTGAGTGCTTGAAGCACTAAAGCGTGCTTAAAGCTTCAAGAAGCCTGTATGCCTCTGTGGCAATATGGAGACCTAGTGTCACTAAGTCACGGAAAGGAACGATTGAAGGGGAAATCCCTATGTCGTTATAGGAAAAAGAGACTAGCACCAAAAGAAGAAAACCCGTTGCTCAGCCATGATTTTTTTTTTTTTCAGTCCAGCTTTATTTAAATAGACAGAAAGAGAAGAAAACTCATTTAAATCTTGAGACAGAGATAGTCTGTGACTTTAATTGCTGAATTGCCTAAGTTGTCTTCTACCACTCGCTGTGATATCTGAGGAGGGTCACATGCCACCTTTGTTATTCCTCATGGCAGCTGTCTCTCCTCGTGTCACAGCTAAGGAATTTTGCGTTTGATTGTACGTTTCCTTTCCTTGTCCCTGCAGGCTCCAACATAATTTCCTAAATTTAATCTGTGCAAAGCAATCTTGTCCCATTGTGTTAGCCAGCCATAATTGGCTTCAGCTTGGGTTTTTGCTTTATACGTGTTTACTCCTTAGCCGTACCGTGCCTAGAAGGGAAATTATGTGTTTGAGATGAACTCTGGCCTACAGGCAGATCCACTACACTACAAAATAATCTGTCAAGTCCTTTTGTAAGACTTGACACGTGAGTCAGGGCTGTAGTGGAAACCGCTTTGTCCATCTGGGATCCCATGCTTCTCCTCCCTGCAGGCTCGGCAGCTTTTCTGTCCAGGGAACTGAGCAGGGCTCACTGTTTTCCCTTTCAAATGGTAGTCGCTTGGGGCCAGTGGTGCCCTTTGTTTCACTAAATGATTTCCATTGCATGCAAAATTGAAACTTTTTGGTGAAATCTCAAGAAGTGAATGTAGTCCTGTAAGCCTGGGTTTCCTCTGGAATGAGAGAAAGGTGGCTCCTTGCCTTTGCTTTGATGAACACTTTGAAAAAACTTGTCCGAGTGTGCAGAGCACAGGCCCTGGAAGAGCATGACCTGATGCCGCTGCTGCTGTTGATACCTTTTCTCTCCTTTCTTTCAGGGTCACAACAACCTGGAGTGCCGTATTACACAGATCCAGGTGGACCTGTGATGAATCCCATGGCTATGGCTTTCCACGTCCAGCCCAACTCCCCACAAGGAAACCCAGTTTACCCACCCCCACCTTCCTACTGCAACACACCACCTCCCCCTTACGAGCAGGTGGTGAAATCCTCCACGTGAGGACTCTGGCTCTCTGACCTGACTCTGTGAGAAGAAGGTGCCATTGCAAAATGACCGAGATGGAGGGCATCTGCCCTTTTGAACACTTGCTGGTTCTCCAAGTCCTCTCTCCCTCCCTTCCCTGCACCTTTCCTCATTAAAGTTACTTGCAAAGGGGTGATTTTAAATTTTTTCTTTTTTTTTTTTTTTAGTAGAAGTGGATTTTTTTCTTTGTCTTCAAAATGAGAGAAGTCATCTTTGTAATGCTTTTAATGGAAACCTATATTTAAAACCTGTATGTCTTTCTCTTTATTTATTGTTCATTTCAATCATGGGTTTAATTGCATTCTGGCAGGCTACTGGTAGCAGTTCTTTATGCAACCCAAGAGTCATGTGCACCCTCCTAAAGACCCTGTAGCAGAAATGCCCTCATCTAAGGGATATGAGAAAGAAGGTAGAAGAGGCAGGGCAATGCTTTTACCAGAAATGGTGACCACCATCTTTTTCTTTTACGATTTTCTTGTACAATTTGGTTCTGATGCACAACAGAAAGACGCTGTGATAGAAGTCACTGTGACTGGAGCACCAGCGTTGGTCAAGTCGTGGCAGAGGCTTTGCCAAGTGCCCTGGAAAAGTCATTACTTTAAATGATGCATCTAAAAAGTGAAGGACCAGGACTTGAGTGTTTCTTGGCCAGCACCTGGACTCTGCCTGTGTGATCAGCATCCTGCTCCCCGTGTTTTGCCAGCGATGAGATTGTATGAAACAGCCAATGACCTAAATGTTGGTAGTGAGAGGGAAGTGTTATAACCTCGGAGCTACTTGTGCTTATGCCTCAAGTAAGCATAAGTTTATGCTACTTGTTTCTAGTTAGAAACACTGAAATATGTAGGTAAGTTTTCTTCCCTAAATTGGAAAATAACTACAGTAAGAAGCAATGGGAGCACACTTCCAGGTTTGGTCCCTTTGAACATGGATGGGAGTTTTGTCTCTGAGAAGTAGTAGCTTTCGTTATGGTCTTACTGCTGCCACAAAGAGTACCGAGTAGAGCTCTCCTCTCTAGGTCAGGCAAAAAAATTTTTGGGATTGGTGCTTAAGAGCAGTTCTGGTGCACAGGTGGTTTGGCTTTCAGTGACTCTTAGCTCTTCATATGTTTTGCTGTGAGCGGCCCCAGGGTTCCCAACTCACTGTCTCATGCTTGTGGCTGACTCGGAGTGACCACAAGTCAACACCTTCAAATAAGTACTGGACACAGTACTCCAGGTGAGACCCCACCTGGAGTACTGCATCCAGCTCTGGAGCCCTCAGCAGACGAAAGACATGGACCTATTGGAGAGGGTCCAGAGGAGGGCCACAAAAATGATCAGACGGATGGAACACCTCTCCTGTGAGGACAGGCTGAGAGAGTTGGGGTTGTTCAGCCTGGAGAAGAGAAAGCTCTGGGGAGACCTTACAGCAGCCTGCCAGTACTTAGAGGGGGCCTATAAGAAAGATGGGGACAGACTTTTTAGCCGGGCCTGTTGGATAGGACAAGGGGCAATGGTTTTAAACTAAAAGAGGGCAGGTTTAGACTGGATACAAGGAAGAAATTTTTGACGATGAGGGTGGTGAACCACTGGCACAGGTTGCCCAGAGAGGTGGTAGATGCCCCATTCCTGGAAGCATTCAAGGTCAAGTTGAATGAGGCTCTGAGCAACCTGATCTAGTTGAAGGTTGGACTAGATGACCTTTAAAGGTCCCTTTCAACCCAAAGTTTCTATGATAAACACAGAGCCCCTTTACCTGTGAGGGCTCTCACACCCATCTATGTCTAGCAAAAATGTAAAGCTACTCTGAGACATGACTACGTACTAATGGGACCTTCTCTCTTCGTGCATCTTCAGAGTGACAAAAAGATGCCGTGGCCTCCTACTGCTGAAGGACTTGCAGAAACACCATAGCTGAGGGTTAGGAGTCCGATGTGGTCCTTTGGGTACCAGGTGAATTGCTTACTCACTGCCAATAGACCGACTGCTCCTGTGCCCCTCCAGCCAGGGTGCAGGGGTCACCGAGGTGGTTCGGAGTAATCTGAAGACCTGTGTTGCACAGGGCAACAACGCTTTATTGTGCTGTTAATGCATCCCAGTGGCTTGCGAGAACTTGTTCCTAGGTGGCAAGCTGGATTTGCAGAACTGGCAGAAAAGAGCATTCCTTTTATTATGAACATGAGTCCCTAACAGAAAAACCACTAAGGGGTCACTGTTTGTAAAAGCTGCTGGTGGAGTTAGTAGTCAGCTGGAGCAGAGCTAGGTTTTGAGGCTTTTTTTTTTTTTCAGGCTAGCTTTTTGCTTTTGCTCATTCCCGCAGGCCTGACTTGGGAGAAATTGTAACTAAGGCTTTCCCTTACTGTGCAACATAATAAGGGACAAAGCAAAGTACTTCTCTGTGTGCAGTGTAGGCTCAGCAGACAAGATAGTATGTTTTATATATGAGTACTAGATCCATCTGAACACCGCAACTGTATATATTTTCTAAATTAGTGTACTCTTGAAGTTTAAAGTTGCATATGTCACTGGATATGGTTGTGTATACATGACAATTTTTTAAAAGCAAATCCAACCTTTCTTTTTCTGTCAATAGAGATGACAACAGGCCTCATGTTAGTAGATAGATGTTGTTAAGTCCTTTTATATTACAAAATGTATCTGTGACAGCTGGCCTTTTCCTGGACACATTGAATAGAAGCCTTTTATAGTGAATTCTTATGCTATACATTGAAATTCAACTTCTGGTGAAGTTTTCCTGAAGTCTGGCTCGTTTATTTGCTAATGTTGATGGGTGACACTACCTCTTACAACACATGCACTCCTCTGCTAGCAAACTTGCTTGGTCTTCTCTTGAAAACACAGCACTTGTGTGGGCATCCATACGAATTACTTGCAAACTGTTTACATGCATTTCCTCTTGTTGCCTTGCTTTTGGAAGTCCTTATGCTTTCTCTTTTTTTTCCCCCTCTCTTTTTCCCTCTTAGTTTAAAAAAAAGTAGCGGGGAGAAAGAAAGAAGAAGTCCTGTAACTTTTGGTAGGGTGATAACAATATGAAGTTGATCAGGAGCGTACATTGCACGTTTTGCAAGGTTTGTGGGTTGGAGGGTGGATGGAGCAGAAGGTTTTTCTACAGTCTCAGGGACTTATATTGCTCATAATACTTGTGCAGACTTTCTTTGAAATGCATTTTATCGAAGTAAGATTGGATGTTGCTGTACCCCTAGCCCTCTCTGTTGCTCTTTCCTGAGCTGTATGTTTAAAGTTCTTTATATCACTGCGTTTAAGAGTGTGATCTCTTGTGTGCAGAGGAGGAGAGAAGGCAAGGCTAATGCCACTGAGAGATTTGTACTTGACAGCATTGAGCAAGCCAGTTGCGAAACACAGGCTACAGGTGCACCATTGGAAAGGACAAGGTTACTTCTCACCAGCAGGCAGTGATGACAGGCCAGGTGTGCAGTCCCACAGATGAAGGAAAATTTCACCTTCCAAGAGGGTATTACTTGGGAGTAGTGATGCCCCAAGAGCTGCAAGCTTCCCTGTGGTGTGTTGATGTTTTATCTGTTGGGATTCCCATGTTGGATTCTCTGAGTGCTGCTCCTGTGTCATCTCTGTATCACAACAGAGATTTTGATGCCTCGCTGACGTGTTTTGACTGCAAAACCAGTTTGGTGCTGGTGGCTGGGAGCCGTGGGGGTGGGTGGGGCAGTCTCCTGCACCTTCCTGGGGGCACCAGACAAGGGTACGGGGCTGACTTCCCACCTGCATTTGAGATCTCACCATGTACATTGGGAATTTGATTTAATGTGTTGTGGGGATCAGTCTACTGGTTCTTGCAGAGGCATTTGATATGTGGGGTTTAAATGCCTGGAGCAGGGCTTGGGCAGAATTGACATGCTTAAGCTGAGCCACTGAACCCAGAAGAGGAGCCAGGAACATATAAACAATACCTCCTTGAGGTCCTTTCTTCAGTTGTGCATCCTCAAAACATGTCTGATGTACCTGTGAGGAGGCAGTGATCGAGAGGAACATGCCTAGGTGGGTAAGGAAGCCTTTGAGGGACGTCTCTGCTGCTGTGACCCTGGCAGAAATGGGAATGGGAAGGGGGTTAATCCCTTTCTGCCACAATGAAATCTCCAACTATGCTGCTTTGAGAGAAGAGGCACTACCAAGGACTCTTGGCACACCTTGCCCATAGCTCTGGTGTGGCCAGTCCTTCATACATCTAAGGCTTGTGGGACAAGCCCACGCTGTGTTGTGGGATAGGGAGGGAACTAGCCCTTTCTGGGGCTGGGCAGTTGGTTTTCAGCCAGAGGTTTCTCTGTCAGTCTTGTCTCAGTGAAGAACAGCAAAGGTTATGAGTGACTGGTTGTGCTTGGCTCTCTTTCCTCCTTGGGGATCACGCAGGGAGGGAATGAGCAAAGGTCTTTATTATAGACTCATCATGACTCTGTGATCCTTGTGTGCAGCTTGTGCCACTGTGTACGCTGTCATCAAATTTGTCTCTGAGGGCTGTTAAAGGTGGTATTCCTGAGACTCTGTAGTTCTCAATAGGAAGTCAGCCATCTCCTCACACAGCAAACCTTCCTGACCTCGGGTGTTTTCAGGGCCACGGACCTGGCCACATTTCTTCTTAGCAGGTTCTGGTTGCTAGTTCTTCCACCATCGCTGGTGAGACCAAAAAGCCCCATTTGCTGCTTTTTTCTCCTGGAGAAACTGGCGGCTCGTG